TCACAGATATTTGAACCTGAACGTACACCACAAAGAAACACACTTTCATCTGGGCTTAATTAGAATACATGGCTCGTGTACTGCGGAACATACTATCAGTTTGATAAAAAAAACCGCCTGGAAAGCTTCGGTCTTAATTCTGACACTGATATTATTGGCATGACTACTGACGGCGCAAGCGTCATGGTCAAAGTTGGTAGACTTATGAGTTGCTACCAGCAACTGTGCTTCGCACATGGTTTACAATTAGCCGTGGTCGACGTATTATATAAAAAGAATATGGAAAGGGAAGAAGAACACCAAGAAATAACTTTTAATGAATCAGATACAGACGACGAAGACACGAATGATACTCATGAAAAACAAGGAGTGACAGTAACAACAACAACGGATCCTCGTCATCCTCATCTTTCAAGGGCTGAAGTAATTCCTACATACAATGATCTTCTTCAAAAAGTGCGGAAAGTGGTGAAGTTATTCAAAAGATCGCCTACTAAATACGATATGTACCTGCAAAAGTATGTGAAAGAAAATACAGGCAAAGAATTAAGCCTTATTTTAGACTTGCCGCACACGTTGGAACAGTCTTCTGGCTATGATAGAAAGATTTCATAAGCTGAAAGTGTGTATAGATAAAGCTTTGATTGATATAGGGTCTGACACAAAATTTAGCGACCTAGAATGGTCGAAAATAAAAGGCCTGATTGACAGTTTGCAGCCATTTAAGTTGGCTGTAGAGACACTATGCAGAAGAGATTCGACCCTGTTAACTGCTGAAACAGCACTAAAGTTTATTTTAGAGAAGTTGCTTACTCAAAACACAGAGTTAAGTGCTGAATTATCTGAGGCACTGCGTGTGAGGATAAAAGAACGCCGCACTGTAGTATTGATGAGTTTGTTGGCTCCTGGCTCCTTAATTCCGGATCCAATACGGCCACCGCACTGTAGTAACAGGAATATTAATATACTTACAGAATCCGAAAAAATATGATGATGATACAAGACGAGCTGATGATACATTTACTATGCCGAAAAAAAAAAGTTATACGGCTAGAAATGAAAAACATCTTAGAAAAAGTTATTCAAGATGATGATAGCTTGAACGAAAACGTAGATAATAGAGTAGAAAACAACTTAGATTCATCGTCATTGAAAAATGATTTGACATTACAGGAAGAATTACAAATGCAAATCCAGGAAGAAGCGAAAACCTATAGCATAAATACCAAAAAAGAGAAAGATTTTGAGAAAATATTAAAAAAGGAAATGACTGCATATGAAAGTGAAGGAGTTCGAGGAAAATACTTGTCTTCTATTTATGAGTATTTGTTGACAATAAAACCGACAAGTGTAGAAGCAGAAAGGGCCTTCTCGGCCGCTGGCTATATTTGTAACTCTATAAGAAGTCGATTGGCAGATGACACAATTAACACTATTTGTTTCCTACGATCCTTTTTTCAAAACCAAAAGTGATTTTTTAAATAATTGTTTTACTTAAAATAATAACTTAAAGTAAATATATTAAAATTTTTTTAGAAGTTTTAAACTCGTTGTTGTGATAATTGTGCCATTGATTAAACAGATTCATAATGATCACTGTCATAATTATAAGAATGAGACTGCTTAAAAATTACCTAATTATTGTGATCTCAGTTGATTAAGTTTTATTTAGTTAGATTTAATATAAGTTACTTACATAATGTAATGTAAGTTACATTACAAGATATAATTGATGTCATTTGTGAAATCTAGTAAGACTGAACTTAACCGCCCGTCATTATCTAATTATTACTTACAAATATGTCTGTGTTAGTCTTAATCCCTCTATCGCAATGATTTTCTATCCGAATTGAAATCCTCAGAACGCCTCGGACGTTCGGCACGCGCATAAGTCTCATAGCTATTACCCCCTCAGGTTCGTAGATAAGGAAGCGGGATGCAGTCTCTCACAGGAATATACAATTACAACACATCATTTCCGCGAGAACATACCCACTTGCTGAGGCATAAAAACCCTTGCGAGTCAAGGGAAAAGCCCGAGCAAGCGCACACTTTATTCAACTCTCAATACCCGACCCGCTGCATTAGCGGGCACAGGCAGCAATCCGTCACATACTAGCTCCGTTACAACAATCAAAGTACATAAACGCATTTACAGCAGGTGATCTGCCCAAAGCGTAGTAATCATCTCTCCGCGAGACCGAAATGGCTACGGAAGCCCGAGATGGCGGGCGCCGGTACAGACCGACGTCGCCCCCTTCGCACAACATGAATACGCATCGCACCGCGCGAACTGTCGCCGGGCGAGGTAACCGTCGCTGACGCGACCGAGATGGCCGCGATGGCCCGAAATGACGGTGTGCCGGCGCCGACCGACACCTCCCCTCTCACACGAGAACACCCGTCGTCCCGCTGCCTGGCAAAGGCCACATCGGACCGCGGGTCGCCCGCGGCCCGACGCCAATGGGAGGGTGATGCGGTCGGGCCCGACCGCTCCCCCTCGCCTTAGGTGGGGCACGCGTCCACTCGCGAACGCGGCCCACAAATGACGAGGCAGCGCGCACGGCCACCCCGTCCCAATCCAACGTTCCAACGCCGCAACGCGGCAAGAACCCGCAGAGTAACGAGACGTCACAAACGCGGCCGTCCCGCACTCCCCATACGCCGCGACAGCGAGACGACGCGCACGCGAGGTACCAGGGCGGAAGGCCCGAATGGCCGTTGCCGCCCCCCACTCCCCGTGGACGCCCCACAATTACCTTGTCCTCCTAAAGTATATTCGCTCGCAACTGCGTCTCTTTGCGCACCGACCGTATCGGCACCCTCGACCTAGTCGCAGGGCGGTCGCCCTTCCCCGATGGCAGGTTCCTTTGTCCTCCGGGCAGACCCCCGGCAGAGGCATGCTCGCCCGCGCAGGGTCCCCGTCACTCGATCCTTCCGAGGTGGAAGATGGCCGCTCAGCCGTCTGGGCTGCGGCGGAATCCCGCGAGATCCACGGGCCTTCTTACAAGTCCAGAGCCTCGAGCGTTCCTCGCTGACGACCAGGCACCGATGGATTCCTTCCAGGGTCGTACTCGACCGTAACTGCGAACTCGTACTTGCAGGGTCCGATGTCGCTTGCGATCGGCCCGTCGCACATCCATCGCCCCTCAACGTCCGATCGGCACTCTACTCACTGTCGTCGACCGGAAGGAAAAGTCACAGGAGCGGCGACGCGCATGCCCCGCTCGCTCTCGCTCACCTTCGCTTACATACCGCGCACGTGCAGCCGGCGCCGCCAATAGCTCACGCCGTGCCGTGGCAACGTCGCTCCGCCGGTAACCCGGCTAATATGAACTATCGCTCATTCGCCGCGAACAAAATATAACAATTACAATTTAACCAGTTACACTATAGGTACTTGATTTTTATTTGCTGATTCGTAATTGTTGATTAATTATAACAGTGTAAAAAAGTTGATTTCATAAGAAATAAACGTTTTTTTATAAACTTTGTAATACACTCACTTGATAATATTTTATACAGGTGATTTTGGAATGAAAAGGTAAAATAGTTTTGATGTGACCAATCTCGCCGGATTCGGTCGGATCCGACCGGATTGAAATTGGTGCCGGATTGCAATCCCTACTCACAAGGGAACGGTCGGAAGTGTCCCTCACCGATTTCAATGAGCTTTCGATATGTTGTAGAGCATTAAAAAGTATTAGAACCGTATTTTTTTAATCGGCTTTACTCTACGTTTAGGGGGTGAAACAGCCCCTAAACTATATAAAATGTTTCGATTATATTTTTACGTTATACATGTATATGAACATACGTATACAGGGTGTCTGATGCAAAAGTAGCCAACTTAAAAATAGTGGTAGATTGGGTTAAACTAAGGAGAAATGTCATGTGCCGCGGTACAAAAGTAACAATAGTTATCGAGTAATTAATTTACACGTTTGAGCGAATGAGGATGCAGGAGACGGTAGGCTGGACTCGGAAGCAGCGTTGTCAACCGTACGATAATTATCGTACACATACGATAATTTAGCCCTACGTACGATTACGTTTCCAACCGAACGATAATTATCGTACACGTACCATAATTTAGCCTTACATACGATCTATTTTGCAATTGGCTATTCTTAAATTTAATCTGCCGGTCAAGCTAACCGGAGATAGTGAAACTGGTGTAGTGGTGTGTAGAGTTCGAGGCTTCGAACTAGAGTCCTATATTATAAGAGAAGCGCGATCGTTACCCCCTCCATGGCTCGCAACTGCCTCTGTATAATGTCTGTGCATCTAACCAATTGCATACGGGCACACGGACACACGCGAAAATCAGCTGCGGGACCGACACTCTCGGTTTTGATTGGCGGTCGCGATGTCGCGATCAGCCAATCAGCAAGCAAGGCCACCGGTTGCGCTTCTCTTTTAATATAGGACTCTACTTCGAACGACCGTGTTCCGTCTGGGCCGTCGAGCGGTTCACACGTCTTCCGACGGAAGATAAATTTTTGATCCTGCGGGATTGCATCATCCCGCGCGTGGCCCGGTTACCGGGCCATTGCATTGTTCAACTCATTAAGTATTATATATATTGGTTCGACGTGGCGCATTTATGGAGGACTAAAGGTTCGTCTTGGCCGTGTCGGCTCAGTGGTTAATGAGCCGAGTGCCAGTAATAAGAAGAAGAAGAAGACTTCGAACGACTGTACGATTGATTCTCGGTTTCCATCTATCGATTGAACATCGTCCACTGAGCAGCTAGCTTCAGCTTTCATCCTGCAACGAAGCTCATCGCATATTCGAAACGTTTTATGCAGGTAAGTTAATATACTTATTCAATACGTACAATATCTCTCAGTCAGTAGAAGGTGATTCGTTCCAATAATAGACTGAAAATTAAAATTTGTTACCATAAGCAAAGGACGTCAAGGACTGGGGTGGAATTTGAGAAAACTCTAATACGTAATGTTAACATAACCCATAAATCCAAGTATATTTGCTTCAAGTGCAATATCCACCGGGAATGATGGACGGGAATGATGAGACTGACGAGTATGATACTGATAAGGAAAATAAGGGGACGAAGGCTAAGCAGACCAGCTCTGGTAAAAATGCAAGACACAGAGCACAGAAATTTTGCAAGGCCTGGTTGCAATGTGAAGATTTTAAATTCTGGCTGCTGCCTGTGCCTAACAACAAATTTAAAGCAAAATGCAAAATTTGTGGAGATAACGAATTCACAGCAGAACTCAGTGTTATTCGCAAGCATGCTAAACGAAAATGTCACGTCATGAAGACTAACCAACTCTTAAAGCATCAAAAGCAAATGCAATCTTTTTTGGCACGGTCTACAAAGATGCAAGAAACATCACAACAAAAACTAACGAAAGTCGCTGAAATCAAGTTGTGTGGATTTTTAGCTGAGCACAATATTTCATTTCGAGCCATTGATCACTTGTCAGAGTTAATTAAAACGTGCTTTCCTGATTCTAAAATTGCAAAAAAAATGCAACTGAAACGGACAAAATCCACCAACATCATCAAACACGTAATTGGAAGCAGCGAGAAAGATATTCTAACAGAGAAATTGAAAAAAACACCATTCAGTATTCTTACAGACGAAAGTACGGACATCTCCTCGACAAAAACAGCTTGTATTGTCGTGAGGTAATGAGATTAACTGTATTTACATCACACCGATAGAATTTGTTTGTAATAAATTATATGTTTCCAGGTTCTACGATGCAGAGATCGGCGCCATTGTTAGTCGATTCTGGGAGTTGGCCCAGCTTTTCAAAAACAGTGAGGAAGCAGCCGAAGGAGCAACTTCTGAACGTCTATTTCACACGATAATGACATCTTTCGAAAAACGGAACATCCCAAAATCGAACATTGTAGGCTTCGCGTCAGATGGATGTAATACTATGGTTGGTAAACATAACTCTGTTGCAAGTAGGTTCCGAGAGCTCTGCCCAGGCATCACTATCTATAAATGTATATGCCACTCACTACATTTGTGTGCAAGCGAAGCATGTAAAGCTTTACCACGTACGTGTGAGGACCTAGCTCGCAACGTCTATAATTTTTTCAAAGCGAGCGCAAAACGACAGAGCGATTTTATCCGATTTCAATTTCTTCTCAATTTAAAAATACATCGGCTTCTGCATCCTTCGCAAACACGGTGGTTATCTGTGCTTGCCGTAGTAAGTAGACTTCTCGAACAGTGGGAGGGTTTGAAACTGTACTTTGCTGAAAAACTTGTTAGTGAAAAGTTACTATCAGTGGAACAGATATATAATGCTTTAAACGATCCTCTGATTCATCTCTTCTACTTATTCCTAGAATGGGTTTTACCGAAATTCGTAACATTGAATCGGTACTTTCAATCAGACAAAGTGGTGATAGTCAATCTATATAGCAAGATGAAGGTTGCGTATACCGACATTTTATGCTCCTATATGGATAGAATGTATGTTCTCCAAACGCGCCTTGCCGATTTAGATCCGACAAACGAGAGTAAATACATAAACGTACAATCAATGTATTTAGGCGTGAAAGTAATGACGGCTTTAAGTTCTGAAAAATTGAGGGACCAGCCGCCTGACCTACGAAACCATTTCTTCGAAGGATGTCGTAGATTTCTAATTACGAGCTGTATAGAATTAAAAAAGCGATTCGATTTCAAAGACCCTGTTCTTCCTCTTCTGGAAAGCTTCACACCGATAAAGGCAATGTCACAAAATTATCGAACTCATAGACCGTCTCTGCTTCCGATAATGACGCTAATGCCGCGAGTAGTCCATGAGAATTCATATCAGAAAATCGATGATGAATGGCGACAGCTCCCGTTTTTCACGTTACCTGGCGATATAAACTCTGACGATAATGCCGATATTTTTTGGAGTAAAATTCTCAAAATAAAAAACGAAGAAGTCGGTGTTTTTTCTAACTTGGCGAAATTTGTGCTTGATGCACTCGTAGTGCCACATTCTAACGCGGAATGCGAGCGCGTGTTCAGCAAAGTTAATTTGTGTAAAACAAAAGTACGAAATAAGCTGATAACTGATAGTATAGAAGGGTTACTTTTAACCAGCCAGCATTTGAATAAAGATTGCATCAAGTTTGAGCCGACAAAAAATATGTTGGCAAAAATGACTACAGCGACGCTGTATCCCCAAACTCCTCAAAGCAATCAAAGCACGGAAGACTCGGAGAATGACGACGTTATGTTGGGTGATGACGATAACTAACAAGTATGTTCTCAGGCTAACATTTCATTTGTCGTACTACAAATTTTTCAAGCATGTTGATTGGCTACAGGATAAAGAAGTTTCGAGTCTCTAAAAATCCTCTATCTTGTAGCCAATCAATGCTTGAAAATTTTGTTGTACGACAAATGAAATATTAGCGATTAGCCTTATAAGACAATTCCAGCCAAGTTTTGTGATAGTAGATTTTACCGATAGGCGATATGTGATCTGGATCTCATATAATATTTATATGAAAGGAGAGATGTACAAAATAGATTATAACGTGATTATAATTATAACAGATTAATATCACAATGTGCAATTAGTTGAGTTAAGTATAAGCTTCATAATTTCATGTTATGCGCTGCAATAAATGACCCTAAAAGAATAAAACATTGTACGATAATTTTCCCTAGTGTACGATAATTTGATGGAGCTAGTACGATCATTCGCCTTGTGCGAGTTGGCAACGCTGCTCGGAAGGCATTTAAGAAAATCGATCGATGAGCGGGAGGTGGAGCGACGCGCGAGATACTATGTTTATATTTCGGGTCGCCCGTTGCTCGCGCTCGCTGCCGCGCTCGCCGCCCGCGCCGCGCTTCCCGCCGCGCCTAGGTTTCTTCCCACCACGGTGTATCTCGCGCGTCGCTCCACCTCCCGCTCATTGATCGATTTTCTTAAATGTCTTCCGAGTCCGGCCTACCGTCTCCTGCATCCTCATTCTCTCAAACGTGTAAATTAATTACTCGATGACTATTGTTACTTTTGTACCGCGGCACATGACATTTCTTCTTAGTTTAACCCAATCTACCACTATTTTCAAGTTGGCTACTTTTGCATCAGACACCCTGTATAAATGCATAGATAGAAAAGTGACACATCTCAAAATTAGCAACTTTTCAGTATAGCACTTTTAAAATTCTGAATTGGAACGTTTTAATGAATAAAAATGTAATTTCTATAACTTCACTTTTTTCCATGTTATTTCATAATAATATATTTTTAAAACTATATTATGAGTTTTTAAAATTCGAACATTGCAACCCTAGTATAGTGTTATCTCTTATCTGATTTGTGACACTTTTATAAAAGCAAATGAATTACAAATATGTTATTTTTCCACAATGGGGACATAATCAGTTGCTATCGATGTATTTTTTTTATAGATGGAGGTATGGAGGAGATGCGAGGGTCAACTTTGTTTTTTAAATTGAATGGTTTTTCATTTACTTTCTAATTACAGCATTTTGAAACGTATGTAATGACCTATGATTAAAGATCATTCAAGGTTGTTGAAGATCAATTACGATAAAAAATAATTTACTACAAGGATTCGATTTTTGTAAAATGTTTGATTACTTTTTTTATAGAAAATTAAAACAACAAG